ATTTTTTAAAGGACACTAAAAAAAGAGAATGGGAGGAAAGAATTTTGTGATGGTGAAAATAGATGATTCTGTAAAAAAAAGTCACAGAAATCAGAACAGTGGTTCACTGTGGTGAGGGAAAAGAATATCAAGGAAGAAGCCTGAGGAAGCTGAAGCAGTAATAAAAAATATTCTACATTTTCATAGGGGTATGGATTATACAGGTATATGTATTTGTCAAAACTCACTGAACTATATATTTAAGATCTGCATGTTTTACTGTAAAACTGAAAATTATACCTAATTTTTAAAAGTTCTTTAAACGACCACAATTAATTCTATTTTAGATCATTCAGCTACCAAAATTTTAAAGTCTAAAAACACCAAGTATTGTAGAGACCATAAAACAACAGGATCTATTACACACTGATGGTAGAAGGATAAAATGGGGCAATCACTTTGGAAATAAATTTTGTATTATCCCTTTAAAATTTAGTACCATATAACCCAGCAACTCCATTCATAATTACATAGTGCAGGAGAATCTCTTGCACATGAACTATTATAAGAGTCATGTATAGGAATGTTTCTTGCATCAGTGTTCAAATTAGCAAACACCTGAAGACTGAATTTTTTATCACTCAATCCCAGAAATAAATCATGTGATAACTAAGGTTATCAGGTTCAAACATTAAAGATGTCTTTATGTTTTAAAGACAACTAGTTTAAGTATGTATATATTATCACTTTGTTCAATGTGTGTGTGTATAGTATAAATCCAAAGTTAAGGCACAGAATTAAGGTACTATAATTTTTTTAGCATATTAAAAAGCAGAGACATCACTTGGTCGATATAGGTCCTTTGAGTCAAAGCTATGATTTTTCCAATAGTCATGTACAGATATGAGAATTGGACTATAAAGAAAGTTGAGCTGATGCTTTTCAACTGTGCTGTTGGAGAAGACTCTTGAGAGTCCGCTGGATTGCAAGGAGATCAGACCAGTCAGTCCTAAAGGAAATCAACCCTGAATATTCACTGGAAGGACTGATGCTGAAGATGCAACTCCAATACTTTGGCTACCTGATGCGAAGAGCTGACTCATTGGAAAAGACCCTGATGATGGGAAAGGTTGAAGGCAAAAGGAGAAGGGGGCAGCAGAAGATGAGATAGCTGGATGGCATCACAAACTCAATGGACATGAATTTGAGCAAACTCTGGGAGATAGTGAAGAACAGGGAGCCTGGCATACTGCAGTCCATGGGACTGCAACTGAGTCCCATGAGTGCAACTGAGTCCCATGAGTGCAACTGCACTCAGTCAACTGAGTGACTGAACAACAACAATGATTTTTTTTTTAAAGGTAGAATTTATTCTTTCAAAATGGCTTTTCTGGAAGTAAAGACTTAATCTAAATGCTGGTTACATCATTGACATTATATTCATACACAAAATATCCTGCAGCTGTGAACACGAAAGAAGTAGATCTAAGTATACAGAAAGATTTCCAAGATATGGAAATAAGTTGAAAAATCAAGAAGTAGGACTGTACATTTTCATGGATTAAAATGAATTCCATAAGATATTTTAAATTTTATATATATATTTGCAAAAACAATTTGAAAGCTAATAAACTATTAATGGTACTTTCTTCTGAAGAGAGGGACAGGGGATCTAAGGTGAAAGGAAGACTTACTTTTCACTGTAAATCCTTTGGTACTATCTGAATTTCTGACCATGTACCTGTTTATCAATTTATTTGGAGGGAAGGGAAAAAGAAGTTCTCAAAATACTTTGTATTCTGGCAAGCAACCTCTCCATGCCTCACAGGAGGGGAAGAGCCAAAATAATCTTGAATAAGAACAAAATAGGAGAATTCAAAATAGGAGTATTGTGAATTCAATACCAGAAAATCTACAGTAATCAGATGATGTGGTACTAGCACAAGAGAAGATGTATAAATCAATGGAATTGATTTGAAAGTCCAGAAATAGCTTCCCAGGTAACACTAGTGGTAAAGAATATGCCTGCTAATGAAGGAGACACAAGAGACGCAGGTTTAACCCCTGGGTCCAGAAGATCCCCAGGTCCGGAAGATCCCCTGGAGTAGGAAATGGCAACTTGCTCAAGTATGCTTGCCTGGAAAAATTCCAAGGACAGAGGAGTCAGGTGGCCTACAGTCCATGGGGTCACAAAGAGTCAGTCAACTAAACATGAGCATGATATTCATTAAGGGCACCAAGCTAATTCAATGGCCTAGGACAAATGGCTATCTGAATGCAAAAGAATGAAGTTGAGCCTCTACTTCACATCACATATAAAAATTAACTCAAAATAAAACACAGATCTAAATTTAAGAACTAAAACAGTAAAACTCATATTTGAAAGAAAATATGAATTAATCTCCATTACCATGGATTTCTTAGATAAAACACCAAAATCATAAGCAATAAAAGAAACAGATAAAAACAAAATCTTTGTGCTTCAAAGAACAATATTGAGAAAGTGAAATGACAACTCACAGAAGGGGAGAAAATATTTGCAAATCATATATTTCATAAGTGACTTTATCCAGGATATATAAAGAACTCTTACAACCAAAGAATAACCTAATCTTTAAATGGGCAAAGGATTTGCATAGGCCTTTCTCAAAAAAAGATATACAAATGGCCATTAAGCACATGAAAAGATATTCAACATCATTAGCCATTAGGGAAATACAAATCAAAACCACAATGAGTAGTTTACAACCATTAGAATAACTGCAATTAAAAAAAAAAAAAAGAGGACAATAACAAATGTTGGTGACGATATGGCAAAACCAATCACACACTGCTGGTGGGAATGTAAAATGATACGGTCTCCTTGGAAAACTATTTGGCAGTTCCTCAAAATACTAGACATGGATTTACCAAATGACCCAACAATTCCACTGTTTGGTATACAACTGAGAGAAATGAAAACATGTACACACAAAAACTTATACACAACTGTTCATAGCAAAATATTCATAATAACCAAATGTAGAAACAATCTAAATGTTCACCAACTGATGAACAGATAAGCAAAATATGGTATATACATATTGCAGAGTACATCTCCTAACCAAGAAATCCACCTGTGACTTTTCCAACCCAGCCTAAAATTACTACAAAAGCCCCAGCAGACCTCACATGGGAAACCTGCCCTTCCCTCACCAGATTTGGTGCACAGCCAAAGCACTGCAGTCTCTGAAGAAAGTTGCGGTCAAGGATGCAGGCCCCCAGGTTGACCATGTTTTTTAGCATAGCTGCATCCCTAGCCCAGGTACATTCTTCCAGAATTTTCTTTAATCTGTGGCCTGCAGATGAGGCCTTTCCTCAGGTGCCTCTTCTGCGATCTTCTCATTAGGAAGGAAACATTAGAGACACTTTTTCTCTATTCTGACTCAACATTCTTCCACTCTAGTCCTTCCATCTCAGCCTCCAAATAGCCCTGGGTCCGTAAAACTGCAGGAACCTTTTCTTCAGCACTCCCTCAGCTGTGAGAGGACTCCCCCCACGACTCCCCCACCCCCAAACCGATTCTCCTGAGTGAGAGGACCTGGACTTTCTCAGGTGTAGCCTCCTGCTTATACTATCTCAGTAAGTGAATAAAGGCTAGGTTGTCACTTTCATTTTGGAATGTTGTTTTTAATCAGCTACTCTTGACACTTGGAAGCTCAGTACTACCGCTACCCTCAACCCCATCTCTCCCTCTCTCTCTCTCTCTCTTGTCAGCTAAATCCCTGACACATACAATAGAGTATTATTCAGCCATAAAAAGGAAAGAAGTACTGGTTCATGATGAATGAACCATGGATGAACCTTGAAAACTTTATGCTAGATGAAAGATGTAAGTCACAAAAGACTACACATTGTACAATTTCATTTATATGAAATGTCCAGAATAGGCAGCTCTACAAAGAGAAAGTAGATTAGTAGCTGCCTGGGACTGAGTAGAGGGAGGAATGAGAAGTGACTGCTAATGAGTACTGATTTCTCTTTGGAGTAATGAACACATTCTAAAATTAGACTGAGATGATAGTTGCATAACTCTGTAAATTTAATTTAAAAACCACCAAATTTAAATAAACAAGTGAATTTTATGATATGTAAATTATTTCTCAGTAAAGCTGTTTTTTTAAAATGTTAGTTCCCAACCTTCTCAGAGAACTAGTGAAGTGAAAAATGGATAAAAGCAGAATATACTGCTTTGTAAAGGAGTTTGTAAAATATCCTTTAAACAATGTAAAGGGACTGAAGGACTCTGAGTCATGGACTAACATGATGACATTTATCTTTTAGAAAAAGCACCCTTATAAGTGTGACAAGAATGGCTTAGGGCGGAGCTGGATTCAAGGTGGAAAGACCAGATGACAGACTTATAATGGTATATTTAAAAAAATCAAAAGATGAAGAAGATTTGAGCCAAGACACATAAGAAAAGGAAAAGGGCTATGATACTATTGTTGGAGTAGAACACCAGCCACAGAAATCAAACACTAACATACTAAAGGATATATCCTTATTTTACAAACCCCCCCAAAACAGTGGGAACTAAAGAAAATAATCAGCTCCAAGAGGACAGAGTGGTATAAAACTCTTAATAACAGAACTATTAAAACAGTTGCTAGATGTTATAATCTATGATTTAACTAATTAAAGGTTTGCCTTGAAGAATATCAGATTATAATGCCAATATCTTTCTCAAGTGTATGTCAGAGAACAGCTGTGTGAACTCCATCTTTGAGTATGAAAGACAAAGTAAAAATTCACTCAAAACTATTTTAATCACTAGAAGCAGCTCCATTCATTTCAATCAAATGTCCTATAAATTAAAAGTAAGCATGCTATATATGTAGCTTTATAATAAACAGTATTTGCTTACTATTAAAACTCAGAGAAAAAGACATTAAATTTTTAACGCCTTAAATTTTTCAGAAACAATTATTTCTCATTATAAATACATTTTAAAAGACAAGTGTATTCATAAAATATCTCACCTTGGGTTTTCAGAAAAATCCACAGAAAAATATTTATAGCATAAGTTCCAGTTTAGGCAGACACCTGAATGAAAAAAAAGGAAAATGATATGGTCAATATGACTAAATCTGAGTAGGGAAGTTAATTTTTTCAAAAGGAGAAATCTAACTTGACTGTTCAAATTTTATGTTCAAGTTGTTCTTTAGAAACCTGTAGGCTGTCAAGGATATTAATTCTGCTAAACTTTCTATTATCTATAATTATTTAACATTTTGACAACTCTTGAAATAAAAAAAAGTATCAAAACATATATTAACAAGGGGTGAGGGGAATCAATTCAAGAATAATAATTTTCTTTTACCTGCTCAAGTTTTCAAAAGAAAAGGTATTTTCTAAAAGTCTGTATTCCCTATAAAATCACCATTATGACCTCCTATCCTCACAAAAATGATAGTACTCAAGATATCTGGAAATGAAGAAGTAAACCAACAACATGTGTTTATAAAACTTAAGTAAAAGGGAAGAGTATATGAAACAAATGGCTAAGAAACTATGAAAACTCATCTATATTGGCCAAGGAAATCAAATTGAAATATCATCTTTCATCAATAAAACTAGTGTTGTTTTTAAAATAAGATGTTAGTTATTAGTGCTGTTCCAATTATCCTCCTTCTGAGACTCACAGTAGAATTGTACTTCACTGCCCTGTTTCATCTCTGTTTGGGCTATGTGACTTGCTTTAGCCACTAAAATGTACATAGACATATGAGATACTATCAAGCATAAGTTTCAGGAACCAGTACACAATTGGAAGACCTACCCAAGTAACAAGATGGAGCTCTGATTAGGATGGGTCACTAAATGACTCCAAAGAGAGAAAGAGAAGACACTGTTGATATGTGTTAGACATGCAGCACGAAGGAAAAATAAACTTTGTTGTATTAAACCACTGAGATTTTGAGGACTGTTACTATAGCATAATCTACCACTATACTGACAGCCACTAATGATAACATAATACAATTACATAATTATAATAATACAATGATGCAATATAATGGGCATCTTTGCACACTGTTTCTGGCAGTATTACTAAATAGGTAAAATCTTCCCTGGAAAGCAATTTTGCAATGCACAAGAGCCTTAAAAAGTTAAAACCATTTGATCTAGTAACTTTTTCTTTTAGAATTCTGTCCTAAATAATAAAAAAATCCAAACATTTATATCATAGCACATTTATGACTGTAAAGAACTGGAAACAAATTAAATGTTCAAATAATTGTTTAATAAGTTAGAATAAGCAATCATTAAAATTATGTATCATAAATGCTTAATGACTAGTAGAGGAAACTGTGTGAACTTTATTATCTGTTCAATTTTTCTGTATATGCAATTCTAGAACTGACACAACTAATCCATAGAGACAGAAAGCAGGTCAGTTATTACAGTAGCCAACATTGTTGAAAGAACTAACTACAAAGGCATTTAAAAGAAACATTGATGGCAATATTCTATGTTTTGATTGTCATGGTCACCATAGGGATACATACATTAGTTAACACTCATCAAACTATACTGCACATTAATCATATCTTACTAAAGTTGATTTTTAAAATAAAATTTAAAAATGCTTAATGACAGGCAAATGTTCATCTACTGAGTAATTTGAATTATGTATAATGCATACATGTGCACAGAAAAAGACTAGAACTACCCATTCCAGGGTTCTTGCCTGGAGAATCCCAGGGATGGGGGAGTCTGACAGGCTGCCATTTTTGGGGTCACACAGAGTCGGACACAACTAAAGCGACTTAGCAGCAGCAGCAGCAGCTAAGTACATCAGTAGTACTTTACATAAAGATTACAGGTAATTCAAGTTTTCCCGAATGTTTTGTACTTTCAAAATGCCCCGAGTAAGTATGTACTTTTATGTTTATGTTAATGACATTTTATGGAGAACCAAAGTCTGAAACCTAGAGTCAGTTTGAGGTTTTATTAATTTGTCCATTCAGTATTGATTGTATGCTTCCATGTACAAACAGCAGTCTATGTGGCTAGAGCTATGCTTCTGAACCTGGGTGCTGTTTTCCCAAGGTTCAGTTAAATGTGCCAATGAAAGTACAAGCATCAACAATCTGCAAGCCACATCTGTTTATCACCTTTACACCAGCAAATGACAGTTAGCTCATGACTATTTTTAAGAACCGTATGCATTAATGACTATTTATTTACCTAGTCTTTCTGAAAATAAGCTTAAAACTTCCATAATATTTAATATTGACATGTATTGCTTTGAATTTATGTATTTTCAATTATGTTTGTCTTTATGAATATTATAATGATTATATGCATTGATAAATATCATTAATTTTTTATTAATCATTTATTTAAACAATTAAAAGCTTTTACAAATATAAAATCACTACAGTGTTTAAAATTATAGCATGAATAATGGAAAAATACAAATGACACAGAAAGAGATAAATGTGGTAATGAAGATAGCATTAAACAAAAAGAACCAGGAGTATTAGGTTAAGCAAATAGAAACATACAATGATATAACTTATAAGCTACAATCAATAGGGAAGGATATAATAGGAAATATTTGTCACAGAGTGTGGCAATTCAAGATAGTGGGGACAAGAGTTAAACATGAAAAAGTGTACTACCTTCTCATGTCAGAAAGATCTAAGATACCTACTCTATTACAGGGAATACATATGAAGCAAAAAACTGGGGCAAACATAAAAGAGAGTCTGATTCAAAAATGATTTTAAACCAATGGGCACAGGGATTAAATCATTATGTTTAGTTACAACTGTATAATATATTGCTTTCTCAAGTTTGATGTTTGGACTTATTATACGTTATATCCAAAAAATACTAAACTGTTCATAGCTTAAAATAAAACACAAATACTACATTATTTATACTAATATTCATTAAGAAGTGCTAGAGCAATGCATGTTTATCAAGATACAGCTATTAAATATCAGAATAAAATAGTCTTAGACATCAAGGATATAACACAAGAAATATCTGGGCATTAATCAAAAAATGAGTAAAATATTTGAGACATCAGTGAGCTTTCAAGGCATTTAGAAATGAAGGACATAATCTGAAACACAAAATCATCAAGATGCAAGAAAATGAATAAACAATTTTTGATGAGTACTGGCTTCCTGATCTTTAGAAACTATGTTATAACTCTGTGTGTGTGTGTGTATGTGTGTGTGTGTGTGTATGTGTGTGTGTGTGTGTATGTGTGTGTGTTAGTCGCTCAGTAATGTACGACTCTATGTGACCCCACAGACTATAGCCCACAAGGCTCGTCTGTCCATGGAATTCTCCAGGCAAGAATACTGGAGTGGGTTGCCATTCTCTCCTCCTGGGGATCTTCCCGACTCAGGGATCGAACCTGAGTCTCTTGCATTGGAGGCAGACTCTACTGTTGAGCCACTAGGGAAGCCCAAAATTATAAGTATTCAATAAAAATACAGGCAAATGGAAAAACCCTATCACCAAGCTGGTCTTGGTTTCTAAATTTTAGAAACCTTAAGGAATAATTGCCCCCAGTTAACAAAACCAAGGGCTAAACTATGGCCTAGAAACCAAATCCAGTCCATTCCTATTTTTATCTGGCCCCTAACAATGATTTTTACATTTTTAAGTCAGTTTAAAAAAAGGGGGGGGGGAGGAATATGCAGTGGACATAGTATGTAGCCATAAAATTCAAAATATTTACTATCTTACTCTTTACAGAAAAAATTTTGCTAACCTCTGAACTAAACAATTCATAACCAGGTAAAACAGGTCACAGTGGCAGCTCTAATCCAAATTTCAAAGTGTGCCATGGTGTCACAGTATATTACAACTAGAAGGAAGCCCTAACATCATCTTTCCTCCCCATCATGTTACAAAGGAAGTGCCCAGAAATTCCAGTCTTCCTGGCCTACCATCTCTTAAACTCAAGCACTTTACATCCCATCACAACACTGGCTTCCTTTTCTTCTGTGGAGTAATTTGAAAATAAGAGAAGTATCAGTTCAGTTCAGTTCAGTCGCTCAGTCGTGTCCGACTCTTTGCGACCCCATGAATCGCAGCACGCCAGGCCTCCCTGTCCATCACCAACTCCCAGAGTCCGCCCAAACCCATGTCCATCGAGTCAGTGATGCCATCCAACCATCTCAAACTCTGTCATCCCCTTCTCCTCCTGCCCCCCATCCCTCCCAGCATCAGGGTCTTTTCCAGTGAGTCAGCTCTTCGCATCAGGTGGCCAAAGTATTGGAGTTTCAGCTTCATCATCAGTCCTTCCAATGAACACCCAGGACTGATCTTTAGGATGGACTGGTTGGATCTCCTTTCAGCCCAAGGGACTCTCAAGAGTCTTCTCCAACACCACAGTTCAAAAGCATCAATTCTTCGGTGCTCAGCTTTCTTCACAGTCCAACTCTCACATCCATATATGACCACTGGAAAAACCATAGCCTTGACTAGATGGACTTTTGTTGGCAAAGTAATGTCTCTGCTTTTTAATATGCAACCTAGGTTGGTCATAACTTTCCTTTCAAGGAGTTAAGCGTCTTTTAATTTCATGGCTGCAATCACCATCTGCAAAATCTGCAGATCTGCAAAAATCTGCAAAATCTGCAAAGATCTGCAAAATCATCTGCAGTGATTTTGGAGCCCCAAAAAATAAAGTCTGACACTGTTTGTACTGTTTCTCCATCTATTTCCCATGAAGTGATGAGACCAGACGCCATGATCTTAGTTTTCTGAATGTTGAGCTTTAAGCCAACTTTTTCACTCTCCTCTTTCACTTTCATCAAGAGGCTTTTTAGTTCCTCTTCACTTTCTGCCATAAGGGTGGTGTCATCTGCATATCTGAGGTTATTGATATTTCTCCAAGCAATCTTGATTCCAACTTGTACTTCTTCCAGCCCAGCGTTTCTCAGGATGTACTCTGCATATGAGTTAAATAAGCAGGGTGACAATATACAGCCTTGATGTACTCCTTTTCCTATTTGGAACCAGTCTGTTGTTCCATGTCCAGTTCTAACTGTTGCTTCCTGACCTGCATATAG